CGCGGTCGACTACATGGGAGTCCAGCGACATAGCCATTACGCTAACTGCTGGTTCCCATCCCTGAACAAGTTTTTAAACTACCACATTTCCACCCTCTAAAGTAATTGCTTAAATGATGCAGACACAAAGCTCATGGGTAAGTGACTTATCCAAGGTCATTCCATTGTTAAATGATTCCAATATTAGAATTATTTACTTAATTTTATTTATTATTATTATTTAATTTGACTAAAGAGAGAGGGAGAAAGAGACAGCACGTGAGAAAGCAAGTCTCCAGGTGGGGACTCAAACCATGGTCAGCCACCTAGGAGTCCACTGCCTTAACCACCATGCTACCTGCCGGCTCCCCCTGTATGTTTTTCTGGGAGATTTTTGCCACAGTGCATGTGCACTTGCCAAAGAATCAGACAGAGGCATAAAACGAGAAATCACCCCCCATGGGGGATGGCCACTCTGCAATCCACCCTATTCCATTCTCTTCTCAGGGTTTTGGGCACAACCCACATATATCCGGTGTGAGTTTCAAGCCAACAGGTCCGGGATTCAAACCACGGTCAACCATAAGGGAGTCAAGCATCTTGATCACTACACTACTTGCTGGCCCACCCCCCGTATTTTCTTTAAGAGATGGTCTTTTTTTTTTTTTAAAGGACTTATTTATTTTATTTTAATTCTCATTATTATTAATTTTTAATTTGCTACAGGGCATGTGTGCAGACCAGAGAAAGACAGTGAGAGAGACAGAGAAAGCGAGAAAGGAAGTCACCAGGTCTGGGACTCAAACCGTGGTCAGCAATGTAGGAGCCCAGTGCCTTAAATACCATGCCACATGCTCCTCCCACCACCTGCAGAGTCTTGCTAGGTTACCCAGGATGGCCTCAAGCTCACTATCCTCCTGCCTCTGCCTCTCAAGTCGCTAGATTCCAAGTGTGCCACAATGCCTGACCTCAATCCAGTTTTGTGACTCTAAATTCTATGCCATTTTTCACTACCTCGGAAAGTCTCCTGTGATTGGCTCTAACAGGGTAGGTGAGACACATTGGCCCCCAAATAGATTCACTCCTTCTAATTGCCTCAGAAAACATATACTTATTTTGCAGAAAAACATATTACCCAGAAGGCAGTTGTCCACAAGCACTTTCCAAGTTTCTCTCAAACATCTGTGTTTTTAAATTTTTCTCCCAACAGATGTATTCATTTGCATTTTCCCAGATGATTCACTTTTTTTTTTTGGATGATTTTTAAAATTTTTGTTGTTATTTTTGACTGTATTTCTCACCTTACAAGATCCTTCGGTGTTATTTCTCAAACCCACTGCTTAGGTTCACAGCGCTTCCCAATTGGGAGCCTTTACTGATTTCATTGTCATGATGGCATGCCTTTCCTGGGGGCCATTAAATGCGATATTAAAACATACGCATTTATTTAAGACATAGACTCTGGGGCCAACAGTGGCATGGAGGTTAAGCGCAGCCCACATAGCTGACTCTGGGGTTTGAGTCCTGGTTCCGATGGGCTTGAAAATCACACTGGATGGGTGTGGGCCTGCGTCTAAAATCACAGAAGGAAGCTGGAGGAGAAGGGATTGTGTGGCATGGCCATCGCCCATGGACGGTGGTTTCTCACTTTCTCTGGAGAGCACATATGCCCTATAGCAAGGAAAAAAAAGAGAGAGAGAGACACAGGATCTGACATAAGGACCTGGCCATTCTTTTGTGTTTTGTGTTTTGTTTTTGTTTTGTTTGTGTTTTGTTTTTATTTTTGTTTTTGTTTTGTTTTGTTTTTAAAGAGGCCTACCTCTCCACAGTTGAACATTTCTGTGGAAACCTAAGGGGTTTGAGCCATCCCATTTGGGAAAACCTGAGGATTTAATGGATGGTGTGGTTTGGAAATCTCACAGGGCTCACATCTCAGATTTTGTAATTCTGGCCAATAAAATGTCCCTTTAGGAATTTTTCTTCTTTTGGGGTTCCCCAGTACTTCCTGTGGGGAACCATTCGTCCTGCCTTCCCCACCCTAAGGCTTGGAAGCCTGAGGTGAGAAGTAGAGAAAATGGCTCAGGCTGCCCCAGTGGACATGGGTCTCCGTGGAGATCCCTACAATCCTGAGAAGGCGCTCTAACTCGCGGATGGCTTTCACTCTTATTTCCATCCCATAGTCCTGGAACCAGCCACATCTCAGCTCATCCACGCCTAGAAGCGTATTGGACAGCACAGATGAAACCCTCGCTCTGTTGCTTCTTTTGAGACTCAACTCTTCGTCCAGCCTTGAGTATCTTCTTACTTTCAAGCCTCAGCTCAGAAGAACCTGTCAGAGAAAGGAACCCCATTTAATGAGGCCGGCTCTTTCCTGGCCACCTCTCTCTATTCCATTAACCCGTTCGGTTGTAAACATAGAAGCGATCTCGACTAGAATCACCACGTTTATCGGCTTACGTATTATCATCTATGTTTTCCACCAGAATGTCGGGTTCACAAGGGCCAGGATTGTTTTGTTCTGTGTGATTTTCCGATGCCGAGCACCGTGGCCTGCGCACGTTGGGCGCCCAGTCCGTACTTGCCGGACCGAGGAATCGCATTTCTCTAGAGCCAGCCTTAGGGGGCAGCTCGGCGACGTGTCACAGGTGGGGCGCCCAAGTTCGGAGCCGCGGCGCTCCCTCCCTGGCGGCGTGGGTGTGGGGCGAGTGGGTGTGTGCTGGGTGTGCGCGGTAGAGCGCGCC